TGTTTTAATGTATTTGTGGTAGAAATCAATGCATTTCTTAACCGGTAATTGAAATGTTAATTAGCAAAGAGATGGACCCAAATGTCTGAATACATGTGCAAACGAATTGCGAGGAGTGCTGTAATACAGCAATAATCATAAAAATAATAATAAATGATTGAAATGAGGGTTCAGTTCATAGCGTTGGCCTCAATCGCAAAAATCTGGATATAAACTTAATATAGAGGACAGATGTTTGCATAGAGTTATTATTAATGATAATAATTGCCTAACACTGTATATATTCAGTGCATACACACATACACTGTACGTATATCTAACGTAACCATCTATTTGTCTCTCATATTCACAGCCACTCAATTCGCTCTCTCTTTTGAAACTAATTTTCTTTATTAATACTCACTTCGCAAACATCACTACAGGCTGTAGACTACCTGATGATCGCAGCACTCAACTCCACTCTATCCTATCTCTCTCTCTCCCGGTGCTCATCTCTCTCTCTCTCTCTCTCTCTCTCTGGTACTGAATTTCTTTGTCATTATAATGAATATCAAAAAGAATGGATAAAAATATTATGTAACACAAGACTTGTTATGTTAAACATGTCTTTATATTTGTTTTACAAGACTTTATTCAACGATCAGATGAGAGAATATTGCGATAAAATAATAGGAAATTGTTTTCTCTATCATTCATTCAATTCGCACAAAATTTATTCAACAAATATAAATGCAAACAAATACAGTATTTGTTATAAATTTACAAAAAAAAATCATTTTTTATTTGCTTTATTTTATACACATTTTTCAATAATAGGATTAAAAAATATTTGGAAAAAATTAAATTATAATTTTTAAGATTTATTGAGCGATAGGTTTTGACTTTTGATTTTATTCGCACTTAAAGTAAAAGGTTTTTTAAAATTTCAAATAAAATATAAGTAAATTATAATATGTTTTAGAGTTTATAATATAGAATTTTATTGTATTGTAGATTGGGTTCAAATATTATTTTTCAAATATTGTTTTGTTTCTTAAATATTCCAACATTTCTACAATAATATGTTTTATTTATTTATTACTTTAAACATTGTTTGTAGTGTAATAACTTATATGGCTTACCATAAGATTATAGCATTAAAAATGTTCAAATATTGTGGTAAAATGATTGTGTGAGAATTTCTACTCAACTATTCATCAGTAGTCCATATAACCATGTTCACCATATAATTGGTCACAATTTACACACATTTATGTATCTATTAGAATAAATTTACATATTGATAATTTATCTCATTTACATTTTTCTATAACAATATAATAAATAAAATTTCAAATCTTAGTTAATAACTACAGAATATTCTTTAGAAATGGAAACGAATAGTGAAATAATAATGAGAAACGGATTCAAATGACTGAACATTCAATTGCCATAACGTATAGAAATTGTAGCAAAAGTCTTGTCGACAATAGTTTTCATATGATCTCAATTATGGTTTAGAAAATGGTTTAATGATTATCTCCTGTACTTTACTATTAAGTACAGCACCGATACTGTACTAATGCAGAGTTTGACAATACTTATCATTATTTTATTTAACAACTAAATGCACTGAAAATGTTCACAAAAAAGATACTACAGTACTATTCGGTGATTAAACACAGATTTTTGCACAATTTTTTATAAACTAGTCGTAAATGTGTTTCAATAATATACAAATTAAAACACAAAATATTCTTTACTTTCAATATTCTATCATTAACTAGAGTTAGACCAGTAATAGCTTTCGGCAAAATAATTAATTATCTCTCCAGATCTCTCTCTCTCTCTCTCTCTCTCTCACTCACTCACTCACTCTCCTAACATCTGTCGGCATCTGATAAATCAAATCTAATATATTTTCTGCTATAATTTATATCACATAGAAAATGAATATTCATTTTGTTTTATTTTAAGATATATTCAATTACATTCATTTAACAAAACAATTTTTTCCGACACAAACTTATTTTAATTATAAAGAAATATTATAAAGAAATAATTTAAAACTAATCATCAAATACAGGCATTGAGTAAAAAATAATGACAAAAAGTAATTATTTGAAACAAGATAAAAAATAATTGTCAGTCAGTCATCGCTTAACTACAGTAATATAACATTTGTTAAATATTTGAAAAAATTATCGCTAAACTGATGATCAAAATAAGTGATTCGTTATAAGAATTCCAGTTATTCTTGAAATTAGATCTCAATATATTAGACGAGTGTCTCAGGAATACAGACAATACTAGTATTTAATTCATACCCTTTGGTTCGCTAATGTATTGGATTCGTGAAGTTATTCAATAATGCATTTATTCCCTGTATATCGGTTTGAATGATAGTTATAAGATACTTATAATCTTTATATTTATTCATTCACAGAAACAATAAACTACTTGTTATTAATATTGATAAATATATTAATATAAATGGTGCGAATTAATCAATGTATTCAAATCCTAACGCTTTTAATTTGTTTAACGTTAGACTTTTTTTTATAAAATTAAAAACAATACCTGAATTACACAGATATTCAAACATGTTTAATAGTGAGCCAATTGAAACTTTACCACTTGTTTTTAAATCCATACAAATTTTATTTTAATTTATGTTCAAATCATACAATAATTTATTGAATAAATAAAAACAATATATAAACAGATAAATATTCAGATTAATGGCTTTAAATCAATAAATTACTTACTCTAATACTATAAATAATTGACTATTTTGTTACTACAGTAATAGTGGCTTTAGAATAATTACCACAATTGAAAATATTGTTTTTTGTGGACATATAATAAGTGAATGTATTTTTGTACAAAAATTATATCAAAAATGATTTATAAAACCAATTATTTATGAATTAATACTCAATTTCTAATCGATTACAAAAATGACTGAAAATTTTATGAAAATAACTAAACACATTGTATTGAGTATTGGGTTTATAAATGCTTTTTCCCATAAATCATATCAAATTCACAACAAATATATAATCATTTTATATTACATACGAATCAAATATTTAAAATAACAAAAAAAATCTAGTTTTATATCACATATTCGTCTCATTCCTTAACAATGAAAATAAAATATTGTTTTCCATATTAAATATAATTTTAAAATAAACTTATCGTTTAGTTTTCACTTAATGTGTTTTAGAGGGATTGTAAATCATATCAAAGAATTAATTATAAATTAAATATTTTAAGAGATTTATAAAACAAAATGAACCGTTTCTTCAAAGATTGACTATAAAGTGCACAACAATTATATAAAACAGTAATTGTTTTAGTGATTGTTGTAATGATTACTATCTTTCATGTCTTCCCTGGCCTTCATTAACATCCCAAACATTGTGAGCGCCAGTAGTTTATCGAAGCCATCCATTGTTGTTCTTTGGATCCATTTGGGAATCGTTGTCCGCGCCTACAGTTTCACATACAAACACCACAAGTGGTTAGTATTATACCAATAGTTTTAAACATTAATAGACTTTTCAAACACAAACCTGACTGAAGCCCAACCGCTGAAGAATATAGTCGACACCGTATGGCTCGATGTTCTTCCCCGCCCACGACAACAGACGCACAGTCGGCTCCAAATGCCATACCTATCCATATAATAGTCATATTAAATTAATACCATGTTTTACATGTGATACATGTTTTATAACTACAATTAATATGATATTCAAATGCTTTCAAATCTCGTAATAATATTGTAGTTAAACTAAACAAGAGATACGAATCACTCAAACAAAAGAGCCGACAATGGATTGCAAAGCTCTTGAGTTATAGCATTGTTAATGAGTAACAATAAAAGCGATCTCAAGTGTGCACTAAATCTCAATCCTAAAAACACAGAGAGTCTGTGATTATATACAACAGTGAAGAGTGAGATACACTTCAATAGGACTCAAGTGATTATACAATGGCAACGGATTGATGGCTTTTCCAAGTAATCAATGCCTTTGAATGGTTTCTCAAAATAAAACTTTTACATCAAAAGCAAACACTTTTGTTACCAAAACAGTAGATAAAAGTAAGACAATCACATAATCGACAAAAAAAGTTTGAAAAACTCTTCGACACTCACGTGACATATAAAGTCTCTGTAATCCCTTTGCATGGCTTCGAGGGACTCAGTGGTCGACTTCTGGCTCTTGTCAGCGCTCGGCGAATGACTTTTCATGAAATTAGTGTCCTTTTCGGTGATATAAGAGCTGATGAGTTCGTGGAGGAAGAAGTAGGCCTCGGCGTCCACCGCCACGAAGATGTGATCGTCAAAGTCGGACACGAAAGCGCAGTCGACAGTGGGCTTGGGGTCGGGCGGGTTGGGTGTGGCGGTCGACTGCAAGTGTTCGGTCTTCAGCTCCAACTGCATGCTGGGGAAGGCGAAGATCACCTCTTGGGTGTGATGATAGTCGCCGCTGGTCTTAGGGCTGGCGGAGGCGCGCCGGTCGCGGGCCGGCGCCGGCGTATAGTACTCGTTGGTGGACGGGATGGGAGTGCCGAAGATGTCGAGTTCCATCACCGCCGGGAAGCGGTCCACGTCGTCGATCTCGGAGGCGCTGAACGCGTAGTGAAACCACTCATGCATGTGACGAAACTGCGGCGGAAACATCACATTCCTCGAGATCTTGCATACGGTGGCCATTGTTTTGCGCGACTGTTGTTCGCTTGAGTTGCGGCCCAATAGGAAGGATAGGTTCTGCACCACATGTGTGTCCAAAGCGCCGGAATCGTTGACAATGTTTTGGGCTTCGGTGGCGAACGATATGGACGTGTGTTTGAGACTGAATGCGCCCCAACTCTTGGACCGAAAGTTAATGCCATAGAAACAGGCGAGCGATATGTTCTGCGCCCGGAGTTCAAGAGTGCCGCCGAGTATTGTGCCGTGAATTGGCAGTGGGTTCGGGAGGGTTGACAAGTGGACGCCCGACACCAGCCGTAGGGCTCTCTGCCAGTGCCGGTGATGACGCGCTTCGGTAGTGATGGACACGTTTTCGGCCGATTGTTGTGTCTGTTGGGAACCGCTGACAGTCAATTGCGGTGAACCGCTGCTCACACTTTGCGTTCGTTTCGACGCCTGACTCTTGCCTTTAAACGACTGCCGATTATACGTCTGGAGCGACGAAAAGACACGTTTACTCGAATGGAACTGTTGTGTAAAGAACTCCTCCAGTTTGGCGATAATCTTCATAATGTCAGGTGTCGTGGATTTGGACATTAAGATCTGCATTTGATCCCAATTGAGTACTCCGTGAATAAAGATAAGCGCCGGCCGTTTGGTCGGATGCGACGACTGATAATTTTTACTCAAATCTATGCGCCATTCGTCGCGTAAAGTGATGTCCAGATCCGATACCCTTAGCATCAAAATACTGGTTCCCATGTAATCAATTCGCTTCTCCAAAGTGTGCAGAGAACAGATGAACTGATGCTGCGGTTCGTTGCCTTTCACCTCTTTCACCGACATCTCGGTATTAATTTGACTCAACTCTATAATCCCGCCAACAATACCGCCCTTTGCGTCCAGTGTTGAGCCGTCGAGCGCGAGACCAATCTTATAGCTCTTGCGACCGCTCGAGTCGATGGATATGCGGCCGTCAGAGCGTAGGCCACGGGTCAGCCAACTTGTGTTTCCCATAACATTTCCCATATTCATAGTTATGTTCAATTTGGACAGATTTACCGAAAACAATACGAGTGTTTCCCACGGATTGTTGGCCGCGAGTAGTGGTCGGGAATCGCTGCGACTCGTGTGTCGATACACTTGCCGTCGACCCGACGCCGGTTCGTCCAAATTGAGCCGCAATCGATCGCGACTGGCGTTAGACGTGTCTGTCTTGTGAAACGTGCGAACAGTGGTCGCCGTTTGGTTCGACTCTTCGGAACTGCTGTCCGACAGGTCTTTGCTGTCGTTAAGTGAGTCGTCCTCTTCTTCCTGATCGCTGAAGAAGGCGTTTATGGTGTGATCGCCGATAAACATACGCTTCCAAATGGATTTGCGATACCAGGCCTTAGGAAAGGCCAGAATCTCGTTGAGTCGCCGCATGTCGTACTTGAATGAAGCGCTTCCGATATCACAGGTGGCGGAGAAACGGAAACTCTGAGCGATTGAGTCGCCGATCGACAGCTTTCGAGAGCGAGAGATATTGATTTTGACGAACTCTACCTGAAGACTAAGCGAGTCTTTGCGGTCCGAATAGGCCATCGACTCGCCGGCCATCTCTTTGGCCGCCGTCTTCTTCTGCCCGCCGTATGGATGGAAGATATAGAGCGAGAAGTCGGCCAAACATCCGGTGACACTCAGACCACCCATCGATGTGTTGGTGGTCGACGCCGTTGGGTTGGATTCAGTTGACGTCTTGTGTCCATAACGGGAATACTTGGGTGGAGAGCATTGACCCGACGGTAACTCTTCGTTTGACGAGCGTTTCGACGAAAAGACCAAATCAATTGACGGCAAGTGAAGCAAACATTCAACGCGTGAGACCGGAAGGCAACAAAAGCGGACAACAGTCGGCTGGACGTGAAAGTAGACGATAACGTCGACGGGAAACGAAGCGTAAGTGGCGTACTGTGCGGGCACAGGCGGCTCCTCACTCTCGTCACCGCCGCTAAACACATTGGGCGCCGACGCGGAGGTCGGAGTCTTCGGCGGCACTGTTATGGGAATGGGTTCGAGCGCCTGCTCTAAGAAATCCAATATGTTTGGACTGATTAGCGTTTCGTCGGGAATGCTGTGTA